TTTAAAATGTATACCCTTTTAATTTTTTTTATATGGATTAAAATTTAAATCCAACATTTCGTGGAAATAAACGCTGTAGCTATATACACGACTTCATCGTTGTCGTCTAAATTCCTATAAATTTTGAAAATTGTTACAAATGCTACATAATATATTATTTAATCCATTAATTAATTAAAGGTAAAATGATATTAATTACCTCATGATTTAAATAATTAAACCGACAATGAATTTCATATTTTTGATTTCTTGTATATGCTTTCTTTAACGTAAAAGCTAAGATGTCATGTAAAAAATCTTCCGATATTGCATTCAAATATGCAAAATTGATAAGAATCATTCGTTTGTGGTCAGTTAAATTACGATTCCAGAACAATTTCCGTATAAATTTCGGCTACAATTTTGCATCTCCAACTATATCTTGGACAGTAAGCCAAGGATTTTTGTTTAGTTGCTCTATTAAATACGTTATGTAGCATTTTACAATTATGATCAAATTGCAATCTGCAGAGTAGTATTTTATCTGCTTACAGAATAAGCGCGCGACCACAGCGCATGTTCATTTTCGAAACATAGATCGCGTTCAATAGATTCAACTTTTGCGGAATGGATCTATACGCGCTCGTTGTTATTGGTGTATTCTTCTAGACCTATCTAAAGCCAGCGGCACACGATGCTTTTTTTCCTGCTGGATTGCTTGCGTGCTACTGTGCTGGCAATCTGACTGGCTGCTATGCTGGAAATTGTATGGCTTGCAGGCCCCGCTGTTGGCTGATCCGCTGGATTTTCGTGATAGAACCGGTGCTATTTTTCTTGCTTGATTTCATGCTGGCTTGTTGTAGAACCAATCACGACGCCGCTTCATTTGAAGATGGCCGCTGGGAAGCGTGTAAACACATGCGAGTACGCGAAATTCAAAAATACAATATTTTGTGCCGACTGTGCAATAGAATACTGGTTGTTTACAAACGACGACGTTGATGATTTCGTTGTTGTCGTCGCAATATTTCAATAATTAAAAATACTGCTACTGCACATCTACGACGATGTGCGATTGCAACAATTTGTTCCATGTAAGAATTTGCTAAAGGTTAAATGGAGGATAATCACCTCAAAAATCGATGAAATTAATTCTCAATCGATGATTTTTCATAAAACGAAAGCATCGTGTGCCGCTGGCTTAAATCACTAACCAATAGTAGCGAACGCTCACAGATCCACTCTGCACAGTTGAGTCGAGTTGAGTTTGATGAACGCGACCATTTAGTTATAGCGTTTTCGATTGGGCAAAAGTTAGTGCGCACCAGTGCGCACTCAGTTCACAC